TCTCACGACGCAAACTAGCATCATAAATAATTTCCATTTCATCGTGAAGACAACGTCTCACGACGCAAACTTACATCATAAATAATTTCCATTTCATCGTGAAGACAACGTCTCACGACGCAAACTAGCATCATAAATAATTTCCATTTCATCGTGAAGACAACGTCTCACGACGCAAACTTGCATCATAAATAATTTCCATTTCATCGTGAAGACAATGTCTCACGACGCAAACTAGCATCATAAATAATTTCCATTTCATCGTGAAGACAATGTCTCACGATGCAAACTAGCATCATAAATAATTTCCATTTCATCGTGAAGACAACGTCTCACGACTCAAACTTGCATCATAAATAATTTCTATTTCATCGTGAAGACAATGTCTCACGACTCAAACTTGCATCATAAATAATTTCCATTTCATCGTGAAGACAACGTCTCACGACGCAAACTTGCATCATAAATAATTTCCATTTCATCGTGAAGACAATGTCTCACGACGCAAACTGCATCATAAATAATTTCCATTTCATCGTGAAGACAATGTCTCACGACGCAAACTTGCATCATAAATAATTTCCATTTCATCGTGAAGACAATGTCTCACGACGCAAACTGCATCATAAATAATTTCCATTTCATCGTGAAGACAACGTCTCACGACGCAAACTGCATCATAAATAATTTCTATTTCATCGTGAAGACAATGTCTCACGACTTGCATCATAAATAATTTCCATTTCATCGTGAAGACAACGTCTCACGACTCAAACTTGCATCATAAATAATTTCTATTTCATCGTGAAGACAATGTCTCACGACGCAAACTTGCATCATAAATAATTTCCATTTCATCGTGAAGACAACGTCTCACGACTCAAACTTGCATCATAAATAATTTCTATTTCATCGTGAAGACAATGTCTCACGACGCAAACTTGCATCATAAATAATTTCCATTTCATCGTGAAGACAATGTCTCACGACGCAAACTTGCATCATAAATAATTTCCATTTCATCGTGAAGACAACGTCTCACGACTCAAACTTGCATCATAAATAATTTCCATTTCATCGTGAAGACAACGTCTCACGATGCAAACTAGCATCATAAATAATTTCCATTTCATCGTGAAGACAATGTCTCACGACGCAAACTTGCATCATAAATAATTTCCATTTCATCGTGAAGACAACGTCTCACGACTCAAACTTGCATCATAAATAATTTCTATTTCATCGTGAAGACAATGTCTCACGACTCAAACTAGCATCATAAATAATTTCCATTTCATCGTGAAGACAATGTCTCACGACGCAAACTAGCATCATAAATAATTTCCATTTTATCGTGAAGACAATGTCTCACGACGCAAACTAGCATCATAAATAATTTCCATTTTATCGTGAAGACAATGTCTCACGACGCAAACTACCATCATAAATAATTTCCATTTCATCGTGAAGACAATGTCTCACGACGCAAACTTGCATCATAAATAATTTCCATTTCATCGTGAAGACAATGTCTCACGACGCAAACTAGCATCATAAATAATTTCCATTTCATCGTGAAGACAATGTCTCACGACGCAAACTTGCATCATAAATAATTTCCATTTCATCGTGAAGACAATGTCTCACGACGCAAACTTGCATCATAAATAATTTCCATTTCATCGTGAAGACAATGTCTCACGACGCAAACTTGCATCATAAATAATTTCCATTTCATCGTGAAGACAATGTCTCACGACGCAAACTTGCATCATAAATAATTTCCATTTCATCGTGAAGACAATGTCTCACGACGCAAACTAACATCATAAATAATTTCCATTTTATCGTGAAGACAATGTCTCACGACGCAAACTTGCATCATAAATAATTTCTATGGAAACAATTATATAGGACACATTTAATATAAACGACAACTTTTTTGAAAATAGACATGTTTTGACATCTCATGATGCCATCTTCAGTATGAGTGAATAATAGGTGATACAGGGTTTATATAAATATAATATGATACATAAATTACAACAATAAAAAGGAAATAAGATAAATTAATGAGGAGCGTCCGAGCGTATTATAAACTATATAGGAATTATATAGGAATGCATGAGTTTATATTAGTGGTTTATATTTTATAACGCATGAAATGACAGCACTAAAAAATTACCATTCAATAAAGATTAATAATTACATTAATAAAAATAAATATTATTAAGAAAGATATTTACAAAAACGTACAAATTATTTTAAATTGTTCATTAGTACATAAGACTAAAGTATGCCTTTCTTCCATTCATTATTGAATGGTTAAAACAAAATATTTTCTTGAGTTCTTGCGTTTTACACAAACTTATTTATAATATAAAACGTACATGATTTATTTCTCTTAGTATAAATCATTTTACGTTGAAGTTGACGAATCTTTAAAGTTTTTCTAACGTTGATGGAACATTTAAAACCAAATCTTCGTTCAGCATTTCCATCGCACATCCATCTTCTCTTGTAAAGTCTAGCAGGTCAAACAAAAATTCTTCAGCAAGAGTTTCTTGAATGGGTAAATTTAGAATTGGTTGAGTATTTTCACCATCTTCCATACTTTCATTTTCTAATCCATTGTCGTATCTTTCGTTGCCATCTTCTAGCCCATTCTCTTTTCCAACACAGGATTTTTCATTTTTGTCGTTCATCTTTTTGTAAATGACGATCTAAAGATAATTAGAATAGGAAAAGAGGCATAATCTGGACTATTCTACAAAATAGCAAATTTATTACGAATTTCAAATTTCACCACTCTCAGACGGTGAAACTATACATTTCTAGAGAAATTAACAATGGTAATGTTCTGAAATTTGCAAAGTATATCTTTGCGTCTGGAATTCATAAGTATTTTGTCTTTAAATCACGTGACCATTTTCTTTCTACATGATGTCCTACAAAAGTTATGTTAAATCATAAATACTTCAGGACGTGGTGGCGTCCTAGACCCAGTCCCTCGCGACAAATTGACGTTGCTAAAATTTTACGACGTCCTCAGGATTGCCCTGGCATGTTGAAAGTTATATAGGCCTATACGTCTTAGACGAAACGTCGTGTTTTCTAAATCAATCTATTAGCTTAAGCTACGTATGGTTCGGATCGTAAGAATAACAAAATATTTTATTACCTAGTGTAAAATAAAATAAATAAGTCATATCTACCTTTTCTTTTAAAGCCAAGTTAGCCACGTAAAGAAATATACAAGAATCAAATCAACTAGTCAAGTCTCCAGTTTTACACGCTTTTATACGCTTTTCGCATTAGAAGGCAACTTTTTGTGATGTGATCCTCTCCTCTATCTAGGCTGTCACTCCTTCTTGACACTTCCCTGTAGGGTTTCTTATTAAGACCTAATTCCACCAATAAGATTAAAGATAATACATCATAAACAAGGAATGAATACACGAATGACAATCATTTCTAAAAGATGCGCACGCACACAGTGTTTCAATAATTGCATGATTGATTTTTGAGCTCATGACAAAAATATCAAACACGCCGCTTGGCACGAATGACATTTTGCTAAGCACATAGCTCTCGTGTGCGCCGGGCTTTACACAATACCGGCCGAGTGAGCGCCTAGTTATATGAAATAAGTATTTTTGTAGCATTCCCAAGAATCGCAAAATAAATAAAGCAGCGTAGAAAATTGCATGCAAGTATGAACATAGCCCCCAACAGAAGTGACAATAGATTCAAATAGACAATTGAATATTCCTATCCTCTTATGTCGTGAGGGTTTGGGGGCAAAATTTTGGAGTTAAATTTGGGATAATTTTCAACTGTACAAAAAAGGTATGAAACAAGATGAAAGCATGGCAGCTAAAATTAATGAACATTCGATACACTATGCATAAGGTCAAAATTCAGCAATTTAAAAAGTTATATGATGTTGAACTGTATTGAACATAACGTCAGAAAAGCCTAAACTAGCTTGTACTATCCATTAGAAATCCAAACCATGCAATTTTGTACAAATTCACTAACAACCTAAAAAATGCAATAAGTATAAACATAAACTACTCTTTGAAAGTCGAAAAACACCCGCAATTTTGTACAAATTCAGTAAGTATACTAATAATAAACCAAAACATATCTTGTAGCTTTAGCTAAATAAAGAGTAACAAAATTTAGCTCGAGTAAAAGTATGTGTTTTCCTGTAAACAAAGTACCTGTTCTTGAGAAACCACAAATAGGAAAAATAAGAATGAAAAATTGCTTTATTCCTTGAGTAACTCATACACTTGTGGTCTTGTGCAAACTAACAAGGTTATTCCTTGAGTAACTCATACACTTGTGGTCTTGTGCAAACTAACAAGGTTATTCCTTGAGTAACTCATACACTTGTGGTCTTGTGCAAACTAACAAGGTTATTCCTTGAGTGACTCATACACTTGTGGTCTTGTGCAAACTAACAAGGTTATTCCTTGAGTGACTCATACACTTGTAGTCTTGTGCAAACTAACAAGGTTGTTCCTTGAGTAACTCATACACTTTTGGTCTTGTGCAAACTAACAAGGTTATTCCTTGAGTAACTCATACACTTGTGGTCTTGTGCAAACTAACAAGGTTATTCCTTGAGTAACTCATACACTTGTAGTCTTGTGCAAACTAACAAGGTTATTCCTTGAGTAACTCATACACTTGTGGTCTTGTGCAAACTAACAAGGTTATTCCTTGAGTAACTCATACACTTGTAGTCTTGTGCAAACTAACAAGGTTATTCCTTGAGTAACTCATACACTTGTGGTCTTGTACAAACTAACAAGGTTATTCCTTGAGTAACTCATACACTTGTGGTCTTGTACAAACTAACAAGGTATCAAGTATGTGAAGTATATGTGGGAGTCAAGAAGTATATGATGGGAGACACAATTCAGTAGAAAACAGCCAAAAGCGCGCATGATCTATTGTCTAGTGGTGTAAGTGGTCACGGTCACGTGGTATCGTATAATATATTCCATCGTATTATATTTTGCATGTGTTTATGCATGGACAACAATGCAAAATCTATATTGTGTTGTTTCTTTTCGCTTTTCAAAGTCAGTTTAGACGACTGAAGACGACATTTGTTTGACAAATTAAATACGGGCATTGAGGAGCATTCTGCCTCTGAAATTTTAGGAAAAATTGCTTTATTAAATCACAATGAAGGTGATATTGTTCAACATCCAGCGGCGTCAAGTCAAAGAACAAACTGAAAGATTTTATCGATTTGAATGGTACGAGATGGTTAATAAAATTTAGTATCATTGCAAAAATCTATCATCAGTTATAAGCGAAAAGCTGACAAGCAAGCCCATTGAAAATAACTGCACTATGTCTCACAAATTTCTCCCATCGTTGACCCAAACAAGATGAAGGATACCGGTTACTTATGCGGAAGGTTTTGTCAAAAACATCACGACAAAGAAGACTTTCAAGCTAAAATTTTGTTGCTTTTTGTTAAAGGTAGCGTACCTATATCTATGTAATCTGAAAATAAAGTTGTTTAGTTGCATTTGAATGAAGCAAATGCTGATGTTCAATGTACGATAGGCTTTGTTAAAGTTGGAAAAGATGCTTGCATAGACGGCGGTGAAGCATATGTTGTAGATGCTTCTCACTGCAGCTTTTTGTCGTGTCAAAATACTGGATACTTTTCTATTGAATTTTATCAACAATATTTGTCAACAATATGAGTATATGTGATCTGTTTATATGGTGACTTACCCGGTGCCATATAAACAGATCACTTTGTCAAACCCGGTTGGGCGAGTAACTCGCTTGGCCGGGTAACTCGGCTCCATATAAAACAGGCCCTTAATGAACGTAGAAACACAGTCCACAAAGAAAAGAAACAAATTTTTAACAAGAAACCTTCCACAACGACAAGCGTAATTTCGTCCAATTTCGTGAGACATAGTGCTTTAGCCAATGATAACTTTTGCAATGTTATAATTATTACTGGTACAATTCAAATTATCGCAATCTCTTAGTTTGTTCTTTGCCACAAGTTGTTGAACAACGTCAGTTTTTCGAAATTTTCAGATGCAGAAGACTCCTGAACCTTTGTATTCAAAAGAACTGTCGTCTTAAATCGTCTTTATAGACTTGAAAAAGCAACAAGAAAAGATCACCGACTTTCGCTTAGGCACGGTTCAAACTTCGTGCTTTTCATGTGCCGAACCTTATTCATCTTTGGTACGGCAAAGTACGACGTTGCTCGACGTCGATTCAAACGTCGAACTTAATTTGTCGAATTTAATTGTTTATAGTAAGCCTTCGGTTGCTTTAGGTCCTGAAGTGATAATTATTGAATGCATGTAATACATTCATAGTGATTTACACACATCATATGACTTCTTGTTAAGTTGTTGAAAGTTTATTCAGTGTTTAATCATATGTTCAAAAATGACGAAAACAAAACACCAAATCAGAACGGAAACTAGCTGAAGAATTTTTTTGATTCGTAGCATGTTTGAGCGGGCAAAAAGTCGGAGGAAAATGGCAGAGTCAACACAGACTGTCCTTTGCCGCAGATGTGTTTGACTGAAATGAACGCTAAATGGCGCCAATTATCACTAAACACGCTATGTGTAAAACTCGCCCTAGTTTTCTCGGCCAAAATGTATTAAGTTTGGCACATGATAAGTTCGACGTTTGAACCGTATCGAACTTTCTTACTTATTTACTTCTGTGACTGATAACTTATTGAGTTATTGTGCGCATGATCAGCAGAGGCACCAGCGCGCTAATTTCGTCGTGCTGTATAAATTTAAGACCATTATCATTATTCATTTGTTTAGAAAAATGTGTAAATTTAAGATCATTATCATTTCTTTAGAAATCTATTGAAATTGCACGATCAAATTGTATTGGGGGATCAGGCAACTGGTCAAAACGAACAAAATGGAAGTCATCTCGTTTGTTATAAACAAATAGGTAAATTAATGCACTGGGGAGGTTTTTCTTCATTTCGGAGGCAGCACTTTTCACACAATTTAATTTACTATAAATTTAGGGGTCGCACGACCCTTTGGTACGTATAAACTGATACTGTTCATGATGTCGTTCATAATATGCAAATATTACAATAAAATGCACTCGCATCTTCATAATCTTCATTTCGGAGGCTGCACTTTTCACATCATTAAACTTACTATAAATTTAGGGGCCGCACGACGCTTTTCGTACGCGTTATTTACCAGATAGTTTGTGAAAATTCATTAAATGTTTCAATACTTTTTAGCAGATGAAAAAAATCTCGAACTGTATGGGTACATCGTATGAAAATTAATTTAAAACTTTTGCACAACAGCAAATAGAGCATCGAGCCTCGTCATTTCAGGCACGACAGCTACATTCGATTGAAATTTATTTTCAACATGATTAAAATAAAATATATAAGCTTTCCTACCTCTCACAGCAACCTCTCTTCTGAAGTATAAATCTGACAACTTGAAGATGCGATGGCTTCGCTTAATCCATTTACGTCACAGAATGCTGGATGTTCAGAATCAGAATTTTCATTGGGTGGTGAAATCAAAGTTTTGATTGGTTCTTGTAAATGTTTATAAACTGCGTCGAGCTCATGACATCGTCAGATATCACTTACACTTTGACTTTCGTGATGGAAACATCTCCCAACCAAGGGTCAAAACAAGCTCAGAACAGAAGCAGGATGAAGTACATCAGATGAAAACGAAATAACACTCTTTCATAAAACTAGCAATGTTATTTTTATTGTTGCTTTGTCCATTTGCAATGTCGATAAAATCATAAAGATTCTATCGTTTTGTGAACTTTTGTAATTTTACAGCGAACATCTTAATACACTTCCGCGTGTGAAATTTCAAATATTCTCAGTTTCATTTGATGATATATAAAGTTAGAAAGTAGCAATAGAATTTTTCAACGAACTTCACAGACTGTATAAGTTCTGATACACAACAAAGGTGAAAGTCGAGATTAAATTAAGATGAAATTTAACTTTCACTTCAACGACTGCACATTTACAATAGTTTCGCGAAGGTCCAATTCATCTCAAGCTAAATATTTGAGGCTGTATTTTAACCATAATGGACCTTAAATAAATTTTCTCTCGAAATACTGACAATGAAACATTTATTTCTAATAGTAACATGAAAGATTGATATCTGTGTTGGGTTTGAATATAATTGAAGTTAACTAAATGCAGTTCAAGGCAACCACAGGGTTGTGTATGATAAAAATAAAACACAGTAAGTGTCTTTTAAAATGTTTTTGAACAAACCATAATTATTTATGCTTCATCTTGTTTTTCTTCATCATCGGGATAATCATCATCACCATCAACTTCAGCATTTTGATCTTCAAGTTTTTCCAGTTCTTTTTGCAAAATCTACTTCATCCATATCTGTGACAACCTTTGGTTGAACAGATAACAATGATAATCAATGATAGAAGTTTATAGCTTAAATTTATCATTTGAAATCAACAAATTTCTTGTATGAATGCAAAGTCATGGCAATAGGATTTACAAGTACATTTCAACCCCTAATCTTGATTGGCCTGTATCTGACATAATGAGAAGAACTGACAAAATAAACACAAAAGTAGATTGCTAAGCTCTTGGTCAGTAATGATCAAGGTTAAAAATCTGTGGGTAAAGTGAAGGTTTAAATCAACAATCGACTTGTAATGTGCCAATTCATCGCACACTAATCGACAGAGCATACAAACTTAACAATACAAACAATGGCTTTTAACGAGACATAAAAAAACATCACATCCACTCTTTTACGAAACTCTTTCCCACTACACTTTATTAACAGAACCGTAAAACGATATCTCGACAACAAACAAAGCAACAACTTCAAACTAGACACCGAAACTCCTGACACGACGATCACAACCAACACAAATGAAAATTCCAAAATAAAAACTCTATACTTCAAACTACCATACATCGGACATTACTCACGACACACACAACGCAGACTTACAAACATTATGAAACGCTTTTGTACAGATATTGACATTCGACTAATTTTCACAACATTCAAAATCAAAAACCTTTTCTCATTCAAAGACCCAATCCTTGATTCAATTAAATCAATGGTGGTATGTGAATTCAGTTGCGCGGGATGTAATTCCCGATACATTGGCGAAACTTCGCGCCATTTATCCACCAGAATCCGGGAACATACCACAACAGACAAAAACTCTCATATCTACCGACACCTTCTTAAATCTTACTCATGTAAAACCAACTATTCCCCCTCTTGCTTCAAAATCATCCACACTGCCGAAACCTCATTCTCCCTTAAAATCAAAGAAGCGCTCCACATTAACAAAACTAACCCTGACCTCAATGTTCAAATTTTTAAATTCAATACAATACTTAGTTTATAATACGCTCGGACGCTCTCCATTAATTAATCTAATTTCCTTATTATTGATGTAATTTATGTATCATATTACTTTTATATAAACCTTGTATTATTTATTATTTCACTCATACTGAAGATGGCATCATGAGATGTCGAAATATGTCTATTTTCAACAAACTTGTCGTATATATTAAATGCGCATTAGCAATAGTGCTTTTACGAAATTATCAATACAAAAATTTTTAACTTTGTTTGGCTTTTGAATTTTTACACCCATTACTTCATGTCATTTTCTTGTTTCAATTCTCACTGATAAATATTGTCAATGTTAACAGGGTCATTATATTTTTGGTTTTAAAGGACAGGGATGGTGTCATTGTAATTTACAAATAAACAACTGATGATGACGTCATACGTGAACTTTGATAATGTCCCATTTTTAATACAGCATGGGGTACTTAGGGAAATGGTAACAGGATGATATGAAGACAGTAGAGGTACCAGGGGATGTCATTTTAGTGATACAATATACTTTTTATAGAAATATAAACCAAACACTTACAGCTTGTTGTAAAACAAATGTTCCTTTCTTGTTCATAATGACTTCTTCAATGGCTTTGATTGATGTTTCCAAAGCTTTCAAACCTTCTTCTTGATTCATTGTTGTTGTCATGACAATATAGGTAGGTGGTGAAATGGGATTTATCTTAAAGAAGAAAACAGTTTACAATCAAACAATGAAATTTTCAAAAGATTAATTATCATTGTATGTTATTTAGGCCTGGCACAGGTATTGTAAGGTGTAATTACATTGCTGTGCACATTTGGAACATCTATAAATAATTAAATCTTGTTTTCGTGAACATCAAAATGTCCATCTTCATTGTGTTTATGTAGCAATATTGCAATTTGATGCATTTCAATGAGAATGATCTGTCATATACAGTGGTGTAAAACAAAGCTTCATGCTATTCTTGGTTCTTAAGGTTCATTTTCCTTGACAACTCATTTATTGACAGTTGTCTTGTTGTACACAATGTTCAGTAGTATATATAATAATCATTCTACAATTGAAATATTGACATAAACATATTTAAAAGTTAAAATGACATGATGAATATGAGGTATAGCTCTATTGGTTAAGAACAGTTCATGTACGACATCAGATGATGTTAATGTTGATTCATAATGGTTTCAAAAAAGCTTGGCTGACTGATAATTATGCTAATAAACACATAACCCTGGCTGTCGCATGTTACAATCGTAAAAAAAATCTCAGCAAACTTTTGGCATAAATATGAAGCAGTTTTAAAATTCAAAAGGATAAAGATCTTTTTGACTTTGAAATGCAAAAATTTCAATAATCCTTCCACTCACTGTCTCAAAGAGATGTGAAATTGAGTGTGTGATGAGTAGAGTGTGGAAGGTTTATTGCAATTTTTATATTTCAAGGTGATTGTTGTAAAGGCTGTGTTTCAGATTAACTTATCCATTTAAAATCTCGATGTTCTTATTATGATCTTGTAGCATTACCTTTGCTCTCTTTGGTATGGTTCATATGTCATAATAAAATGTATTTACAACTAATATCAAAAATGTATTTATTATTGTTTCACAATAGTGAAGGTGAATGGGTTATCTACACACTTGGAAATCTCCACACTTGCACAGTTTTGCAAAAGAAGCATTTACGTTCTAATAAAAAAAGGCTTCATTTTAGTAAAGTAAAAAGCAGACAATTATGACTTTATGATTCATGAAAGCCTTCTTATATCCAAACTTAAACCCTCTCTTAACACCAAGGCAACTCAATCTCCCTTCACCTTCTTTAATATACCGCCCTTCTCATTTCATTCCTTCATCTAAACTTCCTACTCCCCTCACATGTAATTTAACACCCTGTAATATATGGTTGTATTTAAAACCTCATGTATATAACTTATCTCAAATAATCTGAAGATGTCTTAAGTTAAAGACGAAACGTAATTATTAAAAAACCTTTAATCTTTCTTTATTTTATTATTGTGATGGCTTTTTTAAATGTCTTATGTTGAGCTATTATGTTCATATTGAAAAAGTAAAAAGCATTGTCGTTAAATAATAGAAATAAAAGTTATACGTATAAGAAAATTTTTGCAGTAAACGCAAAAGCAGGGCGCAAACTCAGTAAATTTATGAATATTTTGCACAAACCTTGTAAGATCAAGCACAGAAGGTATTGGTTCAACTTTTTCTTCGTTCGGTTCTAGTTCTTTCACGTTAACATTTCCAGGTTAAATGCAAATAAACAAATTACTCCCCAAACATTGTAGTCATAAGATAATACAGCAATGTTCTTCTTCCCAATTTTCCGCTCTGTTTTGACTCCAATTCAGCGCCTGCCAAAAGCAGGCTGGATACAATCAAAGGAAGAACCAAAAGTCTTAATGCTCTCACCCAAATCTCACCAAGAAAAGACACGTACATTGCATATTCCTTCGGTGTTGGATCTATGGACGACTGAACATTGCCATGTAATAAAGAACCGAGCAAAAATCCACAAAGTACGCCGAATAAAATGAAAAATAATATCATATGTTGTTTTGCATGTTTTAATCCATTGTAGCAACGCTTTCTTGAAGTCATTGTCGAAATTTTGTAGCTCTGAATACAATTCAAAGCAACAAATAAACACTGAATCTCAACTTTACAATTCACAATAACAAAGACTATAAATTTACCGCGCCATTGACTATATATAAATATTCAATACATATTAGAGACTTAGGTCACGTGTTTTTCTTCCCAGATTTTAACAGCCAAGGGGGAAATCCCTTTTAAACGCTTTCATTTGAAATAAATGGAGAGAAGGCTAAACTAATTCACAAAACAGATACTAATGTAGTTGGCAACATTAGAAAGTAACTTGGCAACCGCCATTTGAAAAGTTAACTGAAATCGACAATAACTTCACAATTCGCAATAACAGAGACTATAAATATATTGCGCCATTGACTATTTATAAATATTCAATCTATATTAGAGACTAGGCCACGTGTTTTTCTTTCCAGATTTTTCGACAGTTATCATCTCAACAGCCAAGGGGGAAATCCCTTTTAAACGCTTTGAAATAAATGGAGAGAAGGCTAAACTAATTCACAAAACAAATGCTAATCGTCGTCATCACAATAATTGGAAACTTGTGATAGGAAAAAATAAAATAGAAATCACTATAAGAGCCCTTACAAACAGTATTTCAAAACATTCTGTTTTTTATGGAATCTACAGCTGGCAGTAAATACTAAAAAATTTGTAAACTTGGCAATGGAAAAATACATAATTGGTAGTGAGGATGGTTTGCTAAAATTAAAAAATTTCACTCGATTTCATCGTGAAGACAATGTCTCACTACGCAAACTAGCATCATAAATAATTTCTATGGAAACAATTATATAGGACACATTTAATATAAACGACAACTTTTTTGAAAATAGACATGTTTCGACATCTCATGATGCCATCTTCAGTATGGGTGAAATAATAGGTGATACAGGGTTTATATAAATATAATATGATACATAAATTACAACAATAAAAAGGAAATAAGATAAATTAATGAGGAGCATCCGAGCGTATTATAAACTATATAGGAATTATATAGGAATGTATGAGTTTATATCAGTGGTTTATACATTATAACGCATGAAATGACAGCACTAAAAAATTACCATTCAATAAATATTAATAATTACATTAATAAAAATAAATATTATTAAGAAAGATAATTACAAAAACTTACAAATTATTTTAAATTGTTCATTAGTACATAAGATTAAAGTATGCCTTTCTTCCATTGATTATTGAATGGTAAAAACAAAATATTTTCTTGAGTTCTTGCGTTTTACACAAACCTATTTATCATATAAAATGTACATGATTTATTTCTCTTAGTATAAATCATTTTACGTTGAAGTTAACGAATCTTTAAAGTTTTTCCAAAGTTGATGGTACATTTAACAAAAAATCTTCGTTCAGCATTTCCATCGCACATCCATCTTCTCTTGTCAAGTCTTGCAGGTCAAACAAAAATTCTTCAGGAAGCGTTTCTTGAATGGGTAAATTTAGAAATGGTTGAGTATTTTCACCATCTTCCATTCTTTCATTTTCTAATGTATTGTCGTATCTTTCGTTGCCATCTTCTAGCCCATTCTCTTTTCCAACACAAGATTTTTCACCTTTGTCGGTCATCTTTTTGTAAATGACGATCTAAAGATAATTAGAATAGGAAAAGAGGCATAATGTGGACTATTCTACAAAATAGCCAACTTATTACGAATTTTAAATTTCACCACTCTCAGACTGTGAAACTATAGATTTCTAGAAAAATTATCAATGGTAATGATCTGAAATTTGCAAAGTATATTCTGGATTCATAAGTATTTTATTTTTAAATCACGTGACAATTCTTTCTACATGACGACAGCCACCAAGTTTGCGGGGATGTATGGTTGTATGACGTACATGACCCACACTGACTACATAGAAATGTAGATAAAATTGAAGATCATAAACAATTATTTTATTTCACCCAGTATAATAATAATAAACTAAAATCATCACGCTTTCTTGCTACCTTACAGTGATTTTGCAAACACGACGTTGTCGTCTAAGACGCCGTGAAAATGGCGTGGCATGCCCTTTTACTTCCGGTTCAATCTGCGACGGCAGTCCACTGATATGTGTATTAGACTGGATAACGCATCTCTTACGAAAATTGAAGCCGGAAGATCGATCATTTGCTACTGGCTTCATGGGGGGTATCTGTCCCACTTTACTTTACTTTGTATTACAAAATCACAGTTTTCGCGTTTTTATTCTATTTACAAACTTCTGATTAAGGCAAAATTTTAATGACAAGTAGAGGAAAACCGGTAGAGAGTTTTAACCCTGAAGCTCTGTTTTTTTGGCTTTGTAACGACTGAAAAATAAGATGGCAAGTTGTATGAAATTTGAAAGTTGAAGGTGAAGAGAACACTTTCAGCCGTGCGAGGCATTTTTAGAAGATGAATACTTAAATTACAAATTTACAACAAAGTAAGAGCAAAGGTATTCATATCTTCAACATATTCATCAATATTGAAGTTGTTCACATAGGAACTGGTTGAAAACTTTGCTTCGCTTAATGACAACAGAGGTACTTTAATTCGCATATTTTGATGATGTACATCTCGTAGAGTTTGATGATACCGTTTTCAACTAACTATTGTTCATCAAAATGTTTTTCTGATTATTTTTCTATGTCGATTTGTTTTGTTTCTTCACTGATATAATAAAGACTTAATTTGAAATTATTATGATATTAGCGATGTGAATAACAAAGTGTTGTTAAATAAGTAAATTTGTAGCAATCTTCCATAAACGTCATGGCAGATGAAATTTTGGTAGCAGTAGTAGGATTCTGCAATATTTCTACATTTTATAAGAAGCAGCAGCATCATATAATCTCCAGTTTGTTTCAAAACAATGCAGGTCGACCTTGTACCATCTCAATTTTCTGCCATTATAAAGCTAAGAAGACAAACGTTTTAGGATTAAATATCTTTGCCGATTGTTCTGTCCCTTTCACAAAAATTTTGCTCAAATCAAAAGCTTGTAAAACGAATAAAAACGCAAAAACTGTAATTTTGTAATACAAAAGTATAGTAAAGTGGGGGGACCGATACCCCCCATGAATCAGATGAGCCAACTTCCGGCTTCAATTATCTTACTATATTTTATACATGGTGCGTTATCCAGAGTAATATACATATCAGTGGACAACCAGCTCAGGTAACTCGAAGCGCGCATTGTTTTGTGGTCTTAAGTAGTCACGACATGCAAGGGAAATTTTGTATTTGTGGACAACAATGCAAAGTCTATATTGTGCTGTTTCTTTTCGCCTTTCAAAGTCAGTTGAGACAACTAAAGGCACTACTTCTTTTCAAAAATCAAGTATGGACGTTCAGGAGTATTCCGCCTCTAAAATTTTAGAAAAGACTGCTTTATTTTAGCGGTAATATCGTCGTTAAACTGAAAGGTGACGTTGTTCATTATCCAGCGGTGTCATGTCGAAGTACAAACTGAAAGATTGTATCGACTTGGATTTTACGAGATGGTTAGTAAAACTTAGTATTATTGCAAAATCTGTCATCAGTCACTAACGAAAAGCTGACAAGCAAGCTCATTGAAAATAACTTCACTATGTCTCACAAATTTCTCCCAACGTCGATCGATACATTGAGGAAGAATTACCGGTACTAATGCCGTATGCGGATGGTTTTGTCAACAACATCACGACGAAGTTAACTTTCAAGCTAAAATTTTGTTGCTTTATGTTTATGGTAGCGTATCTTCGGCCATTATACATATATATATAATAGAACTCAATGGGCTGCACTCATCTGTCTGATAAACATGGCCGCCGTTTAAAATAGCCGGATTGTAGAACTCAAAAGAGGGAAACGAACATCAAAGGTTACGACATCGAGTGGCGCTTCTGTTACGTATCTATTCTGTGACTGAGTGTCTTGAATTGCAGATAGGTTTGCTATACGGTCACGTGATATTATGGGAATGCACACGAGACCAACCCAGTCTATACCCCCAATTAAGTTACATTGCACGCGAGCACATACTAGCTTGTAAAAGAAATTGAAAAAGTCTTTAAAAGTATTCTTAAAATGATTGTAATAGGAAAGATCATGAAAGATTTAAAACATTTTAACCCGTTACTGCATGGATTTCCAACTCGGCGTATTTATAGCGGCGAAACTCCACGGGTTTGATCAATTTAATACTTAACACCTGAATTGGAATGTTTACAATTAAAGAAATTCTTAACGCTCCGTATTCTGTGACGAAATTGCAAAATTTTAATAATTACATGCGTACAATTTGTCTGGATGCGAAAATTCAAATAAAACTTGCTTGCTATCAGATTATAAGGATCGGTATCCAGCGGCGCATTGTGGCTAATTATTGGAATATGTACGAAGTACGATCAAATATTCTGTCTTGGTATAATTCAAACTAAGTTACTTTGCTATCAACCACTTTTCAAGATTTTTCAAGTTAGAGTTTACTGTCTTTTCGAGTTCAACTATATCATTATTTGAAGCAGTTAAGCAGTTATTACTCGTTAGATAGTTTGAAAATTATTTATTCACAATTTGACAATATATGGCAAGTGGCAAATTTAGCTCAATGGCAAATTAACAAGAAATTTTAAACATTCTGTATGATACACCATGTATAATAATAATAAACTTAAACTATTAGTCAGATGATTTAACAACGGTGGAGAAGAGCATGAAAGCTATAAGCAACAATGAAATTAGTGAATGTATTTGGAAGGGCAAGATGACAAGCTGACGGAGCAGGCACATAAACATACTATCGTAACTCTCACACCAACCTCTTTTACTGAAGCCAAGTTAGCCACGAAGGTAAAAATGTACAAATCAAGTTGAAAGTCTCGTTTGCACGCTTTGAAAATTGAGATAGATCTGAGAACAATAAGAATCCCTTATGCGATGGAGTTTCGTCGCTTTCCTTGTCACGTTAGCGAACTTTGAGGAGTTCGCTAACAGAGAGGAGTTTTCCCCACCAACCAATCAAAATCTCGATGAATTATGAACCAATGAAAATCCTAACAAAGAGTCGAACGAATGATGACATCATATGTACGAAATGGGCAAAAATCTCAATCGTTTAACGTGGTCCATCACCTCTTGAAACAATTTTTTTTATTTTTAAGTAAATTTAGGTAAAAATATCATTTTCTGAAAGGCATGGGTATGGCGTTCCGTTGCGGACAAAATTATATGTCAGTACTGTCTAAAATTGACTATTGAAATTTTAAAATCGTATATCGAAACTTCAAAATAGTATAGAATACAATAGACACAATTGTTCGCGCTATTATCTTTATGACTCCAAGTATTGGATATAGAATGTTACAGGGAGCGTTGCGGCACCGCGGACTTAATGTTCAAAGAGAACGCATTTTACGTCCTATGCATCGGGTGGACCCCGTGATTTCTACATTGAGGAATACAACAAGGATCATAAGACGGTCTTATAATGTTCCATGCCCCAACGCCTTATGGTAATATAGGACACATAGTGATATTGTTGTTTGTTGTATTTCATCGAATTAAGCAACTACTCTCAGTTTAGGCCATCTTTCTTTAATTTGTAAGAAAACGGCGAAACATTTACATTGAATATATTTTATTTTTAAATCTGCATTTGCTATTTGCAGGCATATTGATGGAAATCATAAATTGATTGAGCCATATCGCATAGTTGTCCATGGGGGCGTAGATGGCTACTCAAGGCTGGTAACCTATCTCCATGCATCAACTAATAACAGAGCAGAAACAGTATTGAGCTTGTTTGAATATGCTGTTCAGTGCTATAATTTACCGTCAAGAGTCCGTTTTGATCTTGGATTAGAAAATATTGAAGTTGGGAGATATATGCTAAATGAAAGAGGTCTAAATCGGGGGAGTATCATCGCAGGCACATCCGTACATAATCAAAGGATTGAACGACTGTGGAGAGATGTTAATCGTATTGTGATATCAGAGTTCTTAAACATTTTCTTGTTTTTGGAAAATAGAGGTGTTTTTAATCCGGTCAATGAGGTTCATTGATTTTGTCTTCAATTGGTCTACATTGACTTTATCAATATCGCTCTACAAGAGTTTATGGCTCAATGGAACAACAATGCAGTCACAACAGAAAGCAACCATTCACCACGACAAATATGGGTTAGGGGAATAGTAGAGTTGAAACATTCTGGTTACAGTGCTGTGAATGATGTTATTAGAAACAATGCATTTTCTTCCTATGGTATTTCTGAGGATGGGCCTGTAGCAGAAGAAGATCCTTCTCATGTTGTTGTTGTCCCGCAAACCCAACTTAGATTAAACAATGAACAAATGGACTCGATCCTTACTGTGATAAGACAGGGACAAACTGAAGATGATCCACATAGAATTGAATCTTATTTAGCTGCTGTTGAACATGTTTCCTTGCTGCTCAATGAACAGTGACTTCGAACTTGATGATGTACATCATTTTCACCTTCAGATAACTATTGTAACAATAACTAACATCGCTCATAGCAGTCTAACTACTCCAGTTCCAAAGCAAGTGAGCCATACTTCAGTGCAACATCCATGAATTTTTTGAAGTCTTCATATGACTTATGTTTAGATGGCAGTTTAATAGTAGAGAAGCATGTCTCAGCATCCGGCAGTTCACTTGAATCATCAAATTTGACCAAAAATGATCCCCTTGCAGGTAAGGTATTTGTTGCACAACAAAAGCAACATAAGTCTGTTAATGATGGTTGACCTAAAAGTAAAACAATACAGTGTGAAATGTAACAATACAGTGTGAAGTGTAAAAGAACCACAAAAAATCAAATGCCTTTAATTAAAACAACAAGAAATACTGTAGTATTAATCAGTACTGACATGGGGTATCATGTGCCTGTGAATAAATGTGATTTTAATCACACAAGTGTTGCCCTTGTCTTCTACACTCAAGTAATGTGGGGCAAAAAAAAGATAAGTGTAATAGAAAACTCTTGTGTAGAACTTGTAAAATAGTTTGTGTTTGGTATGATTGAAAGTTAAGTGGTGATTAATAGTATCTTCTTCATATTTTGCCAGGAAATATAAATACTCTGTGAAAAAGGCAAATATTCTTTCATTTTCTTTCTCTTCTTCAAAGATAAGTACTTCTTTGATCTCATCAAAAGATAATCTTCTTTTTTCAATGGACGGAAAGACAATTTCTAAGATGTTGGTGGGTAAGTGCTCAATGAAGGAATGCAAACCAGCATCCTTCATACCTGTAGCAACAAACAACAGAAAAATCAATATCTAAAATAGTTTGCATGACTGGATGAAATCTAGGTCTCAAGTGCTAAAATGCAATGCATCCAAAAGAAAGAACAAGGTAGCATCTCTCCAGCATTTATTTCACACTTTAACATCAAATAGCAAAAACATTCAACAGTGCTCTCATGGAAAATATTGGCATAGTTAATGCAGCCAATTTCAATTGTGACTGAGTCACATGATAAGCATTGTATCAAAAATAGTAAAAAATATAGGCCAAACCTTTAGCAATGTCATCAAGTTCTATGCACCTCTTATGAATGACTTGATAAAACATCAGGTCTTGAATGGCAAGCTGTGTGTTTCCTGACAATATGTCCATGTCAACTCCAGACTCAAAAAGATATGGGCAAAGCTTGTTTAACATCTCAGGTGATGGGGTATGACAATTTTCCAGCTGGAAAAACAGATACCAAATATGCAAAAAGTCATATATGTCATTGTTGATCCAATTAAACCCATAATCCAAGTAAAACAAATAACAGGTGATCATGTCTACAGGTATATACCTCAGTTATCATTTCATGTAATTCAAGATCGGCAATATCTTCTGGAACAATTGGGAGTGCATGTGTAGCAATATCTTTGTCTTTAATTTGTGGTGATCTTGTTACATGCCAGTAATGCAAAATTGCTGGTGAAAAGCCATAAGGAATAGGACCACCATGAAGTACAGAGTGACCTATGATACGCCCAATTGCCTTAAAAACACCCGTGCATCTGAATGCTTGATCATGTACAGGCAGTAAATGATTGTCTTCACCATAAAAAAGACCAGTGGCTTTTTGTTTTTGGAAAGCCCTTCTTCAACAATTTTCATGGCACATAAAAGAAATTCTCGAATAGGGCCATTGCCTACACCATCTTCCCCTTCAAATCTCACACGCAACGGTGCCTTCAAGTTGCATCCTGGTTGAACTTCTGTTTTGGCAGGTTGTAATCCAAGTTTTCTGCTTGATAGCTTTGAAGACTTAAATTTGATGACTTCCTTGTTTCAGGAGCCTCGGAGACATTTGCCAGTGAAGATGAAGGTAAATCTTCAGAATCATCATCATCATCATCCAAGCCTTCAAAAAGTTGACAAACGTACTTACAAACAGTCACTATCAACATGAAATTTATTTATATGGATGGGTTTATTTTCCAAAATGTCAAGTTCATTATTTTGGAAGCAATGTCCAAACACATGACCCTTTAAGTCATTTGGCAGAAATCCAATTCAGTTTCAAAAGAAATCATTTGGGCACATATAAATACAAAAATAATTCCTTAATTATTGTTCTAGAATAGCCTTGTTACTTAAATCTTTTACACTGTTGCTATGTATTATAGAGCATGAACTGCAAAACATGAAAAATTAGGAAAAATGTGGGTAATGACTAACCCAGTGTGCGAATTAGTTCAGAAAAAACAATGTGCAATTTTTTTAACAAAAATGTTTCCTTATAGGCATAATCAAATCGATATTACGTTAATTATTATATAGCGCTAATTGCTAAATTAATATTTTTAAACATGAACAAATTCATATGATTTACGACAGTGTCTTTCGTTAAAACCACTGATTTTTGTACATCGTTTAAAAAAGTGATGTGCAATTGTTTTCATTTTAGCTAAAACGATGTGCAAATTGCACATTACACACCGTTAATTCGCACACTGAACTAACCCGACAGTTGCTGTGCAGCAGCATCCACATCTCCTCCTGCTTTGGATAATGCTGACTCTATTTCTTCTGCTGAGGCAGTGGGCACAACATCAAGCAAAATATTACTTTGAACACTAGTTATGAAAAAAATACAATACACTGATATGATAGAAGAAACCCACACAATTAAGGGGTGTTTCATGGTGACTTTCATCCAGGGACTGTCTCACTCTAGTTCTGTTGCAATTCATATATATGTTGTCACACCTGTTTGGTTGCTTTTGCATTTGAATACAGCTTTGCTTTATGTTCTTGCCTGGTTTAACCAAAGCTTGGAAACTCAGCATGTAACTGGACATTCCACTTACTTAACATTATCCCCACTCTCTTTCCTTCGTTTCTTTATTTGTAACTGCAATACGCAATGTTAAACATTTTATATTATATACCAAAAAATATTGAACTACCAACATACCAGAATAGTATCAACAAATGAAAGAAATTAACTCACTTCTTGATGGTTCTGGAGTGAAGAATCGCTCATAGGAACATCATGTGTATTCTTCTGAATTTTGCATCCATCCTAGCAGAAAATTGCATGTCAATGTTGCATATAGTTTACAAATGTGATTAAGCATGGATCCTTGTTACATTTAATAAAAATGTTGGAATAACATGAACTCACTATAATAATCACCTCTTCATCCATTTGTGATGATTCACCTCCAGGTATATAGTAGGTTATCTTTTCAGCTCTACACTCATTATCCGCCTCAGAAAGAAATGTGAATCAATTATCAACTATTCTACTGCCCAGTAGAGAATTTAGTTTACACACAACTGAAACTGGGTTTCCTAGGACTATCCTGTGCATCCAGTTGCTTTATCTTTATAAATTAAGCAATGGCAAACTTGCATTCATATGTTTATGAGTCATATATCAAACGCGTTTCTGTTATATTAGAATATAGCGTTAACGAGTATTCATAATCATTTGCCATGTAGAAACCATCTCTATGCGACAAGTCACACTTTTCACCACCTTTACATAATTTAATTCCATTCTCAACAATCTTCTGAGCAGACGAATGATCAGTGCCATGGAAATATAACTGAGTATCTTTGTCTTCGTCTTTCTTCAATCTTTCAACCTTGATGATACATCTAATTGCTTCATCTTTGTCCACAAAGTACGCCGAATAAAATGAAAAATAATATCATATGTTGTTTTGCATGTTTAATCCATTGTAGCAACGCTTTCGTGAAGTCATTGTTGAAAATTTGAAGCTTTGAATACAATTCAAATCAAATTCTCTCAACTCCCAATTTCACAATTCACAATAACAAAGACTATAAATATACCGCGCCGTTGACTATATATAATTATATAATCACCAGAAGAACTTGAGCAATTTCATTGGTCGAGACCTTTGATCTATAAAGCCTGGTTCCACTATAGGCTTAACGCGAAAACGCGACAGCGATTAACTTTAAACGCGATAATCCCATATGGGAACGTGGTAATAATCGCAATAAACGTAGACTAACAACCGCGATATAATTTTTGATATTTATTCGCGTTAATCGCCAAAATGACGTCATCTTGAATGAAAATTTTGGAGTATAAAATGGCGGATTCAACATGTGCTCAATCACTTAACCCAGAAAATTGGCCGAGAAAGTGCGTAAGATTCCCTGCTTATATGATAAAACATATAAAGATTATAAAGACAAGTTTGGCGTGGCAAATGCTTGGGCAAAAGTGGCAGAAAATCTGAATCTATTCGAACGTAAAACAATTTTCATTTGACTCTGAAGATGACTACCGCTAAGGTTGTCGAAGCGTCAGTCAACAACAACAAAACAGTCCTTCTCAGGACTATACCAACTGACGATCTACATTTACAAACATGTAACGATACTCCCGGGTTCAAACCATTTACTTTAATAATTGGTGAGCGAGCCAAAAAATTGTTTGAAAATTTAAAAAAAAGATTCAGCAAGCAAAGAAATAACTTTAAAAAAGTAACTAAATCTGGAACATCTCTGTCAGCTGTTGTTTCCTCTAAAACAAAATTGAAGGACTATAATTTTCTACAGTGGTTAGTACCATACATAAAGTCTGGAGCAACAAAAACTAATTTGTCAGTATCAAATACCGGCAGCGGCTCGACAAGTAATTGTAGTTTGTTAACCAATGATGAAATTGAGCATGTCAGCTTACTAAATGAAGACAATGGCTGTCAACGAATAAAGCCAGATGAAGTATTTGATGATAAGATTACTGATATATCTGATACAACTCGACATAAAAAGTGGTCAAAGACAAAAGTTGATGTTGAGCAAGAAGAAATACAGTTTCTTCGTACAATGCAGAAAACAATTAAGCATCAAAACAAAAAAAATGTGGAAAAAGATTAAAATGATTTATTTGGAATGCTTGTTGCCTCCCAGTTGAAGAAGTTAAATACACATGAACAGGCCATTGCTAAGCATCAGATTCAAAATGTTGTTTTCAATATGCAAATGAATCAAAACCCAACAACGAATTGTTCTCTTCAGAATCAGGCTTTATAAAGACTGCACCCACCAATAACGGAGAACCGCTCATTGTCTCAGCCATTTTGTGTTTCTTCACACAAACCTGCAGAATATCTTCCTTTGGTCATCTGCTGAATGACCATCACTTGTAATTGGACTTTTGATATAATCGCACTTCTGTAATTCAGAAAATAGTTTCCTGCTCATGGAACCTTTACAGTCTATCCTTCCAGCCGTAAAGTATGGAGTAACTGAAAGAAAGTCTTGTCTATTGCTCATTGTCTCAGCCATTTTGTGTTTCTTTACACAAACCTGCAGAATATCTTTCCTTTGGTCACCTGCTGAACGAACATCGCATGAAATTGGACTTTTGATATAATCGCACTTCTAATGCCGAAAATAGTTCCCTGCTCATGGAACCTTTACAGCTTATCTTTCCAGCCCTAAAGTAAGGAGTAACTGAAACAAAGTCTTGTTGATTGCTCTTACCACATAAATACAATTCTTGGAAACTTTTCAAATTATTTGGGCGTAAACAAAAAATGAGAAGGGCTGCTTCTGTTATATTAGAATATTGCGTTAACGAGTATTCATAATCATTTGCCATGTAGAAACCATACTTATGCGACAAGTCACACTTTTCACCACCTTTACCTAATTTAATGCCATTCTCAAGAATATTCTGAGCAGACGAATGATCAGTGCCATGGAAATATAACTCAGTATTTCATTCTTCTTCTTTCTTCAAACTGGATGATATATTTAATTGCTTCATCTTTGTTACTTGCATTAAAAATCTTTACATCTTGATTAGTTTTGCCCTCTGCATCATTACAATGTGAAAAATTCTGCGTAAACCAACCGTTTAGGTAGTTTTCATTGTATGGAAAAGAGGAAAGGCGTCATTCGTAAATATAGTACATTTGAAAAATTTCTTAATGTAGGTTCCAAGTAAAACTGTCATTGATTGGTCATCAAGATGAGACAGAATAAACGAGAGTGCATTTTCTCCTTCACTTTTCATCATCTCTTTTTCAACCAACTCATTCGAAATGTAAAGCAAGCTCACAATATCGTACATATCAGGTCTAGCGAAAGGACTTCGCTCAGGTCTTTTTTGGAACATAGCAGTGATCGTTTGGTTGTATTGTGGTACATCATTATTCTTTTGTGGATAAATGGTGTAGACGTCTCTCATTATTGATTTTGATAAACACGGAGGCATTCTAAAGAACATCGTAGATACTTATGAAAGAATGTTTTCTAACTTATGTTTATAAGATCATATCTTTATTTTATCATAGATACTCTTACAAAAATAACCCAGAAAAAATGAATAACATTAATTAGAAACCTTTAAATAATTAAAGCGAGAACGTCGATACATTCACAATGGCTACAGTTGTAAACGTTTATTTATTTGCATTAAAATTCCTTCAAAGCTTATGAAGGAATCGCAATACGAAGGTTTCACGACATTAAATCTAGCGGAAAAGTATATATTTTTAGTGATGTGCATATTTTAGTACAAACATGAAACTTCCGTTGTGGGAAACGTTATTTTGCGTAACTTTGCCTCATGTAATTGAAATTTTTGTTGAGATAGTTTTTCATCCAACGAATAAGTAAATTTGATCGTGACTTACGATAAACATTTCAACTATTGCAAAAACTTCAAAATATCAAACGGAAAAGTTAAATCAAATGTAACATGCTCCAATGAACCACAGTTATGAGGAAGTGATAAACACTTGTGCTATGTGGCTACATCATTTATAATCAAATACCAAAGAATGAATTAATTATTTTCAAAAAATTCAGAATGTATTGAAAAACAAGCTACAAAGTAATTTTTGATCCATAATAATGACTTTGAAAGTTTCAACACGATAATTTTACACTAAATTATTTTCACTCACGGGAACTCTATATGCCTTTGTGCGCAAAGATTTGTTACAATCAAAACAAAAGAGCCAATACATACTTCAAAAGTTATCACACGATTCTCACTTAAGCGTGACTTAAATATTATAAAACATGTTTCGATGTTTAAAGAGTTAAGTGTTCAGGAAATTGACGCCTCCTGGTTATAACTGGTTTAAATATTTTCACGTTCATAATAAGTACATAGATGTTAGGTCGTCAACGTTTTGATACCTGGATACGGCGCATAAAACCGTTCAAAAGAATAGATATTTGAAGCTATTGACGAAAGCCCGGCACAATTTTCTTTGTACGATAAAAACTGTCACAATTATACCCAAATGCGTTGAACATAGTTGCAATTACAAATACATTTTTCATTGGTTTCGCTTTCATTTTGGAAACGACGACAAATATTGTTGTCTGAATTCATCAAAATTTACAAAACTCCATTCTAACGTTAACTAAAATGTTTACTTACTTTTACAGAAGGATAACAGCTGGTATTTGGCAATTTTATATATCTACGAACTGAGGAGCTTCTATGGACGGCGTACTATCCAGAATGAAATGACAAGAATCGCGTCTCTCTGTCGGTACCAGACCTCTGACGTAGTTTTTCCCGCTAATTCCGATAACTACCATCGACCACGAGCCGAAGATTTGCCGTGCTTCCTAGAGTATCCCATCAAGTCAAATAAAAATGTTAGTTATAATAATAAAATATAATAATGAACTCTTTTGTGAATAAGTTTAAATCATTTTAAGATTTTTACATTTCTGATCTCTATGAATGCATATTTCTGTTAAAACTGATAATTTTATGTCAACAGACACAATAGAAAAACAGTTGTTCAATTATATGTAATACATATTAAAGATCATTTCATATAACCAATCAAAAACCATAAAACATTTTGTATGAAACATGTTTAGCTCCTAAGTTAAACATAAAGTACTATTCGAATAAGAACATGACAAACTCTGCTTGTTTTATTTTTTTCTCTGATGCTGCAAAAAAAACAGCAGCTCATTAAACATACGTCAGTTGTATAATTTCAAATCTTTGATACATCATACAGGTGTGCAAAATGTCCAATGGACTCAAGTGATGTCCTTCTGATAATAGTTACACAGTCAGAGAAAGCAAACATGAGACAGACATTGTGTAAATGATGTGAACATGTGCTTTGTTATTTTATTTTGTTTTGGAGACACATAACTTTTCTTCAATATGCAAAAGACATTGTTATGATATCACAATGCATAATTAGCTTTAGGAAAAACTAATTTTTGTGGACAGTTAACATAAATTATTGCCAATGTCACAAGATCCTAATATTATTGATTTCAATGCATTGGGATGGTGTCATTGTAATTTTCAAATAAACGACTAATGATTGAATATGTCCATCTTAATACAGCATGGGGTACTTAGGGAAATGGTAACAGGATGATATGAGGATAGTAGAGGCACCATGGGGATGTCATTTTAGTGATACAATATACTTTTCATAGAAATATAAACCAAACACTTACAGCTTGTTGTAAAACAAATGTTCCTTTCTTGTTCATAATGACTTCTTTAATGTCTTTGACAGATGTTTCCAAAGCTTTCAAACCTTCTTCTCGATTCATTGTTGTTGTCATGACAACATAGGTTGGTGGTGAAATGGGATTTATCTTAAAGAAAACAGTTTACAATCAAACAGTGAAATTTTCAAAGATTATTTATGATTGTATGATATTTAAGCCTGGCACAGGTATTGTAAGATATAATTACATTGCTGTGCACATTTGGGACATCTATAAATAATTAAATCTTGTTTTCGTGAACATCAAAATGTTGATCCTCATTGTGTTTATGTAGCAATATTGCAATTTGATGCATTTCAATGAGAATGATCAGTCATATACAGTGGTGTGAAACAAAGCTTCATGCTATTCTTGGTTCTTAAGGTTCGTTTACCTTGACAACTCATTAATTGACAGTTGTCTGTTGTACACAATGTTCAGTAGTATATATAATAATCATTCTACAATTGAAATCTTGACATAAACATATTTAAAAGTTAAAATCATTGAGTTCTATAATAACTGGAGCGGCTATCTCAAGCGCGGCCTTAGATATCTGATGACGCCAAAAAAATGGCGGATTTCGTCCGTTGCCGCTGAGATTTACCGAAATTGACCGCTTTTCCGAAAATTTCACAATTTCCACTCCCTCCTGAGGAAAGAGTGAGGAAAATGTATGTGTGTATTTGGGATTCGGCAAGCAATTTTTTGATGAAAATGAAGGTAAAAACCTTAAATTCATAACAGCGAGTCAACTGTGGTTGTCAGTTATCTGCTCCTACGAGGATGCATTTATAACTATCGACGAAAGACCTATATGTCGGCTACACATGTATGAATGCAGATGTGCGTCGTTTTCTTACCAGCGTCAAACTTGTTTGATCGATTAAACTCTTTAGTCTATACAAAAAAGTATATCATAGTTCATCTCCACGGTTCACGAGAGAGAAGTTAGCTTATTTGTTATCATTGCTATTTTGCTTCTTTTCATGCGATGGGCAATGGCGTTTTTCGCCACAACTGTAGGATTTTTACTTGTTTCTTTAAAAAAGTACATATTAAATCTCCGGATATTTACGGATTTTCTGTAATTGAGTTTCATATGAAATTTCAAAAGACTCAAGTCTGCATAGGTTTGGTAAATAAAACAAACAATATTGTATAGAAATTACTTTAAGTAACCTTTTGTGATGTTCTGAAGTGCAACTGCATCAAATACTTGTAAAGTTGTAGCACATTTTGATTTTGTTGTATTGATATATGAATTGGGCAAAATGCAAATAATCATCAAAACACTTATGCTTCCAATGGTGTTTATAATTCATTTGTAGTTTTAATACTTCTACCTTTCTTTTCACTTTGTTTTGTTTTTATATATTTGCAATAAAAGTGCACTATAATTTGAATGATTAACACAGTTTTCACCTCAATAATAAATTTCATAAGCAGTTGGTAGTGCATTTTGTTCTCTGAGTATCCACATCTGGTGTTTTGTTCATACAAGTAGATATGTCATAGCAAAGCAATAAAACCAAATG